ACCGATCAGTATAATATGTACTTGTAGGGGTATTTTAAGAGTTAACGGACGTTATCTGTATTTGAGAGACAATTATATTATATACATACATTATTATTTGATTGTTTCACACTTTTCACATTTCATAATTTTATTACTAGGTGGAGGTGATGTTATTGAGACTTTGGGCGGCCAAAAAACTCTTGTTCTGAAAGTTGTCCTCTGTACTTGTTTCACTGACCCACGCTTTTTAGCATTTATACATTTCGGCCCATTTTATATGTTTGTTCGAATTGCTGTACATTTGTATACTTGCTATTTTGTAAAAGTTTCAAATCAAATCAAGAGTGGGTCTGACAACCAGAATGGTGGGTCTGCACTTGAGAAGAGTGGGTCTGGCGGCTGGAATGGTGGGTCTGCAATCTAGAAGTTGGTCTAGCAACAGAATTGTGGATCTGCATTCGAGAATAATGAGTCTTCACTCTAGAAGAGTGGGTCCAGCAACCAGAGTGGTGGGTCTGCACTTGAGAAGCGTGGGTCTGGCCGCTAAATGGTGAGTCTGCACCCTTTAAGAGTGGGTCTGACAACCAGAGTGGTGGGTCTGGACTTGAGAAGAGTGGGTCTGGCAGCTGGAATGGTGGGTCTGCAATCTAGAAGTTGGTCTGGCAACCAGAATGGTGGGTGTACGTACACCCTTGAAGAGTGGGTCTGACAACCAGAGTGGTGGGTCTGGACTTGAGAAGAGTGGGTCTGGCAGCTGGAATGGTGGGTCTGCAATCTAGAAGTTGGTCTGGCAACCAGAATGGTGGGTGTACGTACACCCTTGAAGAGTGAGTCTGACAACCCGAGTGGTGGGTCTACACTTGAGAAGAGTTGGTCTGGCGGCTAGAATGGTAGGTCTGCGATCTAAAAGTGGGTCTTGCAGCCAGAATGGTGGATCTGCACTTGAGAAGAGTGGGTCTGTCAGCTGGAATGGTGGGTCTGCAATCTATAAGTGAGTCTGGCAGCTAGAATAGTGGGTCTGAAATCTAGAAGTGGGTCTTGCAACATGAATGTGGGTCTGCACCCTTGAAGAGTGGGTCTGGCAATCAGAATGGTACGTCTACACTCTAGAAGAGTGGGTCTGGCAACCAGAATGGTGGATTTTCGCCCTAGAAGGGTGAGTCTGGAAACCAGAAAGGTGGGTCTACAATCTGGAATAGTGGGTCTGGCAACCAGAATTGCGGGTCTGCATTCTAGAATAGTGGATCTTCACTCTAGAAGAGTGGGCCTGGCAACCAGAATGGTAAGTCTACACTCTGTCAACCAGATTTGGGGGTCTATAAACTAGAATATAGGAGATATGGCTACCAGAATTGTGGGTTTGGACAACCCGAATGGTGGGTCTTCACTCTAGAATAATAGGTCTGGTGGGTCTACACTTTAGAAAAGTGGGTCTGGCAACTAGATTGGTGTGTCTGCAATATATAAGAGTGGGTCTGGAAACCAGAATAGTGGGTCTGCAATCAAGGGAATCAAGATGAGTGAGTCTGGCAATCAGAATGGTGGGTCTGCACCTTAGGGTAGTGGGTCTGGAAACAAGAATGGTGGGTCAGAATTCTTGAATAGTGGGTCTTCACTCTAGCTAAGAGTGGGTCTGGCAACAAGAATGGTAAGTAAGAATTCTAGAATAGTGGGTCTTCACTCTAGAAGAGTGGGTCTGGCAACCAGAATGGTAAGTCTACACTCTGTCAAGTGTCAACCAGAATTGGGGGTCTAAACTAGAATATAGGATAAATGGCAACCAGAATTGTGCGTCTGGAGTCTAGAGTCTAGAATAGTGGGACCGGCAACCCGAAAGGTGGGTCTTCACTCAAGAATAGTGGGTCTGGCAATCGGAATGGTGCGTCTACACTCTAGAAGAGTGGGCCTGGCAACCAGAATGGTAAGTCTACACTCTGTCAACCAGATTTGGGGGTCTATAAACTAGAATAATATAGGAGATATGGCTACCAGAATTGTGGGTTTTGACAACCCGAATGGTGGGTCTTCACTCTAGAATAATAGGTCTGGTGGGTCTACACTTTAGAAGAGTGGGTCTGGCAACTAGATTGGTGTGTCTGCAATCTATAAGAGTGGGTCTGGAAACCAGAATAGTGGGTCTGCAATCAAGGGAATCAAGATGAGTGAGTCTGGCAATCAGAATGGTGGGTCTGCACCTTAGGGTAGTGGGTCTGGAAACAAGAATGGTGGGTCAGAATTCTTGAATAGTGGGTCTTCACTCTAGCTAAGAGTGGGTCTGGCAACAAGAATGGTGGGTAAGAATTCTAGAATAGTGGGTCTTCACTCTAGAAGAGTGGGTCTGGCAACCAGAATGGTAAGTCTACACTCTGTCAAGTGTCAACCAGAATTGGGGGTCTAAACTAGAATATAGGATAAATGGCAACCAGAATTGTGCGTCTGGAGTCTAGAGTCTAGAATAGTGGGTCCGGCAACCCGAAAGGTGGGTCTTCACTCAAGAATAGTGGGTCTGGCAATCGGAATGGTGCGTCTACACTCTAGAAGAGTGGGGCTGGCAACCAGAATGGTAATTCTTCACTCTGTCAACCAGAATTGGGGGTCTATGAACTAGAATATAGGAGATATGACAACCAGAATTGTGGGTCTGGACTCTAGAAGTGGGTCTGGCAACCAAAATGTTGAGTCTGCACTCTAATAGAGTGGGTCTGGCAACTAGAATGCAGACACGTAGCCAAGGGGAAGACCCCCGGAAAAAAATTGAACCCCAAAAAAAATAAACCCCCTAGTCCCCATGGTCGCCTGGTAAGTGGGCTGTGTTTATGACTGTTTGATTAAACGACACGACAGGCAATCGACTTTTGCATTTCGTAAATTATTCCCAAATCCCACTATACAATATGTACTTATTCCATTCAATGTGACAAGTACTGAGTTCCCCCCTAGCCCCCAACTTTGCATTATTGTGATGTCTGAAATTACAAATTTCTAATGCCAAATGTCGTCTGAAACACCCTATTTCTCAAAAATTTTCCGGGGGCTGCACCCCCAACTTTGTATTATCGCCGTCCTACAAATTTCTTTAATGCCTAATGTCGTCTAAAACAAATAATTTCTAAAAATTTTCTTGGGGGCTGCGCCCCCCCCCCCCCCAGTCCCCCAACTTTATATTATTGTAATGTCTGATTATTGCTGTCCTACTAATGTCGTCTGGAACACCCTATTTCTCAAAAAGTTTCCGAAGGCCAGGGCTGCCCCTGCCTAGCCCTCCAACTTTGTATTATTGTGATGTCTGATTATAATTACTGTCCTACAAATTTCTTTAATGCCAAATGTCGTCTAAAACACATAATTTCTCAAAAATTTTCTGATTGGCTGCGCCCCCCCCCCCCCTCCCTAGCCAACCAACTTTATATTATTGTGATGTCTCAGGATTATTACTGCCCTACTAATTTCTTTAATGCCTAATGTCGTCTGAATCACCCTATTTCTCAAAAATTTTCCGGGGGGTGCACCCCCCTAGCCTCCCAACTTTGTATTATTGTGATGTCTGATTATTACTGTCCTACAAATTTCTTTAATGCCAAATGTCGTCTAAAACACATTATTTCTCAAAAAATTTCTGGGGGGCTGCGCCCCCCCCCCGGCCCCCCAACTTTATATTATTGTGATGTCTGATTATTACTGTCCCCAAATTTCTGTCCCCAAAGGCCAGGGCTGCCCCTGCCTAGCCCTCCAACTTTGTATTATTGTGATGTCTGATTATAATTACTGTCCTACAAATTTCTTTAATGCCAAATGTCGTCTAAAACACATAATTTCTCAAAAATTTTCTGATTGGCTGCGCCCCCCCCCCCTCCCTAGCCAACCAACTTTATATTATTGTGATGTCTCAGGATTATTACTGCCCTACTAATTTCTTTAATGCCTAATGTCGTCTGAATCACCCTATTTCTCAAAAATTTTCCTGGGGGTTCGCTCCCCTAGCCCACCAACTTTATATTATTCTGATGTATGATTATTGCTGTCCTACAAATTTCTTTAATGCCAAATGTCGTCTGAATCACCCTATTTCTCAAAAGTTTTCCGGGGGCCAGGGCTGCGCCTTCCCCCCTCCCTAGCCAACCAAAGGAGCTTTGCCCCGGCTACGTGTCGTGTCGGGCTACGTGCCCAGAATCGAAAAAACTTAATCTTTAAATGAATAACGGAACCTTCATTATGAAGTTACGAGATGATAATATAATTGGGAGGCAAAGTGGGTATCGGGCTTGGGGCTCATAATGCGCAAAATTTGGCCGCTGTCGAGTGGGTCTGCCTAAAATTCACAGATCTAGCTATGGGTCTGAGACATTTGTAAAAAAAAAACCTTACGGCCCACCCTGACCCACAGCACCCCACTGTTGGCGATCCTTCCCCCTCTAAAAGTATGAAATGAAATGAAAATTGGACAAATGAGGTGATTTTAGAAGTTGCCCCCGTAAAATCTGTACAAAAGTGTTTTCTCAAGGACTTTGGAAATTCTAAACGTATAACCGTCGCTCTTATCAAAAATAGGTCTGTTTATGTGTTACTGAGGGTGTAAAATCTGTACAAAAGTGTGTTTCTAGAGCAAAAAGTGCAGTTTTGCTAGTACTTTTAAGTTTTTCACAATTGTCCCACATTCAAACGACGATTTGACCCCCCCCCCCCCCGAAAAAAAAACATGATCTTATCCATTATTGTATTGTAATTTTTTTGAAATTTATTCATTGAAATTTGTTGTTTCATTGGATAGCACACGGATTGTTTAATCTTTTATTTCTATTCAATATCTTCTAAACATGAAGAATAGCTTTGTTTCAAACTTTGACCATTTTTCCCATATATTTCGCCAAAATTTTACCAAGCTCCCTATTGCATGCCTTTCACCAGGCTGTTATTTCTCTCCATTTTAAAAATTAAGCAATTTTTATTTTAAGTTAGTAAAATGCTGACTTATGAAATTCATGATGAATAGTTTAAACAGTAAAGCATTTTACAGTGAAAAGGATGACAATCTAGCTTAGGACTCTCTACCTAGAAGATGGAGCAATGGAACCATCCGAGACAGTCCTACATCAACCAACAGGATAACCACTACATGATGGATACATCAGGCACTATCAATATTATGGATATGGATGCCTCTGGTCCTCCAAGAATGATTGCTTCTGACGATATACAAATAGACTGTTTCGATTACAATAAGCCAATTCAGAGACCCATGTCACCCGAAGTTCAGAAGGTATGGTTAACATCTTTTCTTAATCATTTCATTTGATATAATTTATATGAGCCAATCCTCAAACCATAACTGTTATAGCAATTAAAACAAATAAATGTGCAGCCTTTTCAACTTAGAATGTGAATAAATGTTGTGAGCTCCAACACGATTCTTTGTGATTAGAACTAATCCTACTGGTATGCATGTATTAAGACTTTCTTGGAAGAGCCACTTCATTTAGTTAATCATAATAAAATATTTAAGGCATTATTAAGTATATATATGATTAAGTATATGATTGAGTATAATTTAACTTATTATTGTTATAGTGGCCTGTTATATTGTATTTTGCACATTTCGTAATTTGTATTGCAGAAACATTTTGCAAGCAACTTGCCTGTGACGAGAGGTAGGCTACTTGAAACTGAGCTGCTAAGTGCTCTGAAAGATGACATGATGATCATTTGTTTTTTAAAGGACTGTACGCAAGGATCATCACCTTCTTGCTATTTGTCCCAAAAATTTGTCTGATTTTCGTAACATGGTTTTAGAAGGCAACTCACTGTTCTGGTTACAGATTAAATTGTTTAAATTCGTTAATCTTTTACTTCATTTACTTCACAGTTAAGCAGTTGTAGTGAATCTGCAATTTTATGTTGCATAAACACAGTTATTCTTGATATCAGATAGTCGTGTTATAGTATAGTAGTACTAGTAGTCGTGTTACTCAGCATCAAAATATCAATAAGCCAAGTTTACTGAGCTCTGCTGAGAATCAGTCTAATTTCTGTGAGATTAAATTTAAATCATATTTGTTGAAGAACTGGCATGCAGCCAATAGAAATCATGACATTCCTAAGCCTAAATTTCTGACAGGTTTGCCTACATCCTCACTGCCTTCTAATTTCTATGTTTGATGACATCCCGATTAAAGCTCTATCAGACAAGTTTATAGTTCAATCACTATAACGTCATTATGCTCATATTATAAAGATCGCTAAAAGATATGACTCCTTTGACGTCAAGGAAGTAACAGTTAACACTCTTCTAGAACCCATCCAGTAACACCCTTCTAGAAACCCCTCCAGTAACACTCTTCTAGAACCCCCTCCAGTAACACTCTTCTAGAACCCCCTCTAGTAACACCCTTCTAGAACCCCTCCAGTAACGACCTTCTAGAACCCCCTCTAGTAACACCCTTGTAGAACCACCTCTAGTAACACCCTTCTAGAACCCCTCCAGTAACACCCTTCTAGAACCCCCTCCAGTAACACCTTTCTAGAGCCCATCCAGTAACACCTTCTAGAACCCCCTTTAGTAACACCCTTCTAGAACCCCTCTAGTAACACCCTTCTAGAACCCCTCCAGTAACACTCTTCTAGAACCCCCTCTAGTAACATCCTTCTAGGACACCTCCAGTAACACCCTTCTAGAACCCCTCCAGTAACACCCATGACCCTTCTAGAACCCCCTCTAGTAACACCCTTCTAGAACCTCCTCTAGTAACACCCTTCTAGAACCCCTCTAGTAACACCCTTCTAGAACCCCTCCAGTAACACCCTTCTAGAACCCCTCCAGTAACACCCTTCTAGGACCCATCCAGTAACACCCTTCTAAAACCCTCTCTAGTAACACCCTTCTAGAACCCCCTCCAGTAACACCCTTCTAGGACCCCCTCCAGTAACACCCTTGGTGTTTCAGTGTCATTCTGCTTTTAAAAGCGTTGATATATTGTGAGCTATATAATGTACACTTGCCTTGGTCAGCAAGACAAGAGATTTGTCGTTATTATTCTAACCATTTATGATTAGCCCATAAAAGAATGAAGCAACGACCCACATTTCATACCATAAAACTTGAAGAGCTGGGGTTTAAATTTTCTTTATTAATAATTGAAAAACTTTTAATTATATTTTCAGAATACAATTTGCACTTAAAATACGGCAGTCAAAGGGAAAACATTTAAAAGTGCTTGAACGTTGGATCACAATATTACCATCACTCTAAATTAATTTTAACCAAGATTTTAACCATGAAGCAATTAATTATAGAATCAGTGCCGTCTGAACCAGACGGCACTGCCTAATTTGGGTACCTGGTATACCCATTAATCTTTAATAAGGGTAATGCAACCCTTAATAATGACATTTTAATAACCACTATTTGACATCACCCACTTCACTCAGGCCTAAGACTTTTTTGCGACGCATATATGGTCGCTTTTTTTCACATTTTGGTCGCTTTTTGGTCGCTTTTGTCTCTGGCCTTGGTGAAATGGGGAGTATATTTGGAAATGTCAAATATCAAGCGCTTATTCACCACAGCACCTAACCAAACTGTTCGATATCAGAATAGTCGTACACTTGTCACTTTATGCACATAATATTATATTATTCAAGTTTTTACTTATTAACAGCATTATACATTATAAAAACTACAACACTAGCCTTTACAAAACATTATTATATTCTCTTAACCCTATACATCTAGTTTGTGTTAATGTTATGTAAACTTTTCTTGCCCAGGATGGAGAACGGCCCCAAGTAGGTACAAAATAATCTATTTGACTTCTGGTTTTACTTTAATTAATTAATTAATTAGTTAACTAAGTTAACTAATTGATTAATTAATTAGTTAACATCTGGTTTTGCCAAGCATCTCTAAAGCATTAAAGCATGTTGGGTTCTTTCTGGAATGCAGTGTAGTACAGCTGTGTGTGTACGGGTTTTTGAATATGTCTTATTATGGATGTAACGATACATTTCCATTGAGCAAAAGCACACAACTTATTATAAATGTCTGGAAAGTTGCCAAGTAGCTAAATTAAGACCATTTAATCAAAATATTAAATTTGTACGAGCAACAGTGTTTTCGTAGCTTTGGCATGTTTCCAAGAATACTGTAAATTCTAAGTTTTGTTATTCAAATATTCTTATTCTCCGACACGTTCGATCAAACAAGGCAAACTAACCTTTACACCACTCGGCCTAATTGACCGGGTAAATTGCTGGACCACCGCCTCACCTTGTAACCTAGCAACCACCACTTCACTCCCCTAAAACCATGGTTTAAAACACTGACCAGCTCTTCTTGATACGAGATGTAGATTTGGGTGGAAAGAGTGCCCACAGCTCTTTATGGAAGTCTAGAGAGAGAGAGAGGTTACCATGGTTACAGGTAGAGAGAGAGAGGTTACACTCCATACCAAAATAAGGATAATTACCTTTACCTGACAATTGTAGGGTCAACCAACCGGCCCTCATAATTACCTGATTTCAATTCAACTGACTGGTTGGTCGGTAGTAGTGGGCTCATCTGCTGAAACTGATCTTAATTAAATTTAACTATTTTAAACTGTGTTTTCACAGCCGGTTATTTTTGACAGGCATGAGCTCAGTCAAGCTGAGTTATTTAAACTGTGCCTGTTATGCCTGTTAATGTGACAGGTAATTATTTCCACGGGAAATGTTCGCTAGACTATGATCATATAATTTGATACTTGTTGACGAATACATGCACCGTAAATGGGAACCATAATTTCCCTTCAGAAATAGTTGGCTAATAGTTGACTGTATTCCTATTTATTTAGTAGCTCACTACTCCCTGCTACTAGAGTAACCGAGAAACACGAGATTGTAAATTGGCTCCGGGAATATGATCATTGACAGCAGCTAGGGGTGCCTGGTTAGGCTTAATGGGTAGTGAAACAACTGTACTATAATAGTTCTGTAGTCATGGTTACCGGTACTATAGTCATGCAATGGTTACTAGTACTGTAGTCTTGGTTACTGGTACTGTAGTCATGGTTACTGGTACTGTAGTCATGGTTACTGGTACTATAGTCATGGTTACTAGTACTATAGTCATGGTTACTGGTACTGTAGTCATGGTTACTGGTACTGTAGTCATGGTATCTGGTACTGTAGTCATGGTTACTGGTACTATAGTCATGGTTACTAGTACTATAGTCATGGTTACTGGTACTGTAGTCATGGTTACTGGTACTGTAGTCATGGTTACTGGTACTGTAGTTATGGTTACTTGTACTGTAGTCATGGTAACTGGTACTGTAGTCATGGTTACTGGTACTGTAGTCATGGTTACTGGTACTGTAGTCATGGTTACTGGTACTGTAGTCATGGTTACTAGTACTGTAGTCATGGTTACTGGTACTATAGTCATGGTTACTAGTACTGTAGTCATGGTTACTGGTACTGTAGTCATGGTTACTGGTACTGTAGTCATGGTTACTGGTACTGTAGTCATGGTTACTGGTACTGTAGTCATGGTTACTAGTACTGTAGTCATGGTTACTGGTACTGTAGTCAAAGTTACTGGTACTGTAGTCATGGTTACTGGTACTGTACATGTAGTCATGGTTACTGGTACTGTAGTCATGGTTACTAGTACTGTAGTCCTGTAGTCATGGTTACTGGTACTGTAGTCATGGTTACTAGTACAGCAGCACGGTACGGGGTGCCAGGTTAGGCTTAATGGGAGTGACACAACTGTAGCGGTTGAAAGATTACATTGCTTTATTGTGTGACGGTTCCTAATTGGAGCTGGTCAGTGGTCGCGTGACACAGATTATACTTCATTGATGAACGGTACTCGTAACCATGACTACTCGAGCTGACGAAGTGGCTGGGCTTTGCCAAGAAGAAAAGAAGTAGCATGTTCTATTAAAAAGCTTTCAATTAGAAAATAACACTTATATTGTGGAGTGCCCTGAATGATCCCAAGTATTTGGTATACATTTGAAATATTGTTAATCTGGTATGTAAGTATAGATTATAGTAGATACTTGATATCAAGTTATCAAGTTATAGTCAATGTCATGACTTCCTCATATGAGAGCTAATCTAAGACATTACGATAATCACGATATTATGTAAAATAAGCATCTTACACAAATAAGCTCCGATGTAGGTATAATATAAATAATGAATATAATGAAGATCTAGCACCACTGCCACTCCCCACGGCAACTCCCCAACCCCAGCTCTCCACAATAACCCTTATTCTAAGTATTTAATTAACTCTGTTATTACCTGTTATTTAACATCTGTTTCAGGGGAGAATATCACCCACCTACGCTAGACAAGAGCTAGCTAAGAAGCTGTTAAATAGACGCAGTCTCGGGGAGCTCCGACAACAGAACCTCACTTCAGGTAAACTATAATATTCTCAGTTTACAACTTACTTTTAGTAGTAGTATAGAGTTAGTATAGAACTCATCAATACACGGATAGATAAATTATAATAATATAATAATAACGCTTTATTTGTATACCGCTTAGGCCGTATAAGCGACCAAATTCCCAAATGAATGGGGTTGATACTGGCCAACAAAGCGGTGCAGTTAGATATAGCTTAGTAGTCCCAGTTCTAATCAAAATTCAAATTTATAAGTTGTAGATTGAACAGAATCACCAAAAATACTGTTCGCACATACAGGATAGGCTTGATGAAATAGATGGGTCTTGAGAGCCTTCTTAAAGACATCTAGTCGAGAGATGGAGCGTAGTGAATAGGGAAGTGTATTCCAGATTTTAGGAGCAGTGTGAGAGAAAGCACCAGCTGCACTGTAGCCCTCAGTCTTGATAAAGGAGGTCGTTCCAGGAGGAAGAAGTCATGGTCCATTCTGACATGATGTTTACTAGTGTCCCTAATTTTGACCATTGTCCTAAGATATTCAGGGGCACAATCGTTTTAAAGGCACTTGAAAACCAGTAACGCTATCTTGAATTTGATCCGCATTGCCACAGGTAAGAAGTGTAATTCAATCATATGGGCTCCTGTCTCAACTTCCCATGAAGTCCAAATATGAATCTCACAGCAGCATTCTGCACTTTTTGAAGTTTTTGGAGAAGTCTTTCAGAAAGAGCACCATAAGTAGCATTTCCATTGTCCAGAATGGAATGGATTGAAGCGTGTACCATTTGGATTTTGAGCTCCTTACTCAGTTTGGAACCTATTCTACCAAGATTTCGCTGGTTTACATTTTACAATTTACATAGCAAACTCTGACAACGTTGTTGATCTGTGCCTCTAAATTGAGATGGTTGTCAAAAATGAATCCCAGATTCTTTGCTGACTTGGTAGGTTTAATGGAGCTCATGCTGTCAAGATTGAATTCAACTTGTTTTGGAGCTTTGGAGTTTGTAGAGATCTCGATTATCTCGCTTTTATTGTTGTTGAGTTTCGGGTAGTTCTCACTCATCCATGATTTGATGTGCTCGAAACATTCTTTCAGTTTGCTCTTCATAGATTCAATGTCCATATCTTTCTTAGGATCAAATGAGAAGTATATCTGGGTATCATCAGCATATAGATGGATTTGGAGACCATGCATCCCATGCATACTTGCAATATCTTGTAGCTGTTTAGTGTATAGGATGAAAAATATAGGACCAAGAATTGAGCCATGAGGAACTCCATTCTCGAAGTCACAGAGAGAGGAATATTCACCCTTAACACCAACGATAAAGGATCGATTCGACAGGTAGCTAGTAACCCATTGAAGAATAATACCACTAAATCCATAGCTATGTTCGAGTCGTCTCAAAAGTCTTTTGTGATTGATCATGATGGTATCAAATGCAGCTGACAAGTCAAGAAGAAGAAGAACAGTATGACTCTTCTTGTCAACTTGGAGGAGAATATCATTATGTACCTTGAGCACTGCAGTTTCACAGCTCATGTTTTTCCGGTAACCTGATTGATGTGCTGCAAAAAGATTATTCTTATTCAGGTACTCAGAAAACTGCGAGTGGGCACACTTTTCTATAACCTTGGAATTAAAACTGAGGTTACTCACTGGTCTATAGCTTTTCAAGTCGTCTGCATCTAGAGAGCATGTGGAAAATAGCCCTCTTGGAGAGATAGGTTCACTATAAGGGTGATAAGAGGGAGCAATTCATCGAGATTCGAGACAGTGCTTGAGAAGCCATGTTGTAATTGTAACACTAATTACACTACTGTAGTCATGGTTACTAGTACTGTAGTCATGGTTACTATACTGGTACTGTAGTCATGGTTATTGTAGTAGTACTCAACTCTAGTAGTATGTAAAAACTGAAACATACCCAAAGATACATTTAAATCATTCAAGCGAATACATTTTATAATTGTAAATAAAATACATTACTGTTATGTTGGACCGCGCCGTGTTATAAATGCTCGGATTTATTGCTGTATGCTCAACGTATGGGAGTATTACTAGGGCTGTATTGACGAAACCATCTGTATAGAAGAAGAAAAATCAACAATAAACTATTACAGGTTAGATGTTTACCTGAGTTCTATATCTTTCGATAGCAACTCCATCTATAAATCTGATTAGCAAGTCATTCTGTATTCCACCAGTACTTGTGATCCTGGTTGCAGCTTTCAACATGTTTTATGGGCCCAACACTCAGCTTTCACAGTTTATGACTTCTGGCCTCCTTGCGATGTCGTAGCAGGTAGACCATTTCTTGTGGTCGCGGGCTAACCAGATTGTATAGGAACATCAAAGAGCAACCAAATCAGCCTCATTCAGGGCTTTATTCTTCGTTCTCTTCGCCAATCCAAAGTAGTTGAATAGAGCTGGTACAGTATGGTGCCAGAAGCCCCTACACCCAATCTCTACCGTAAAGAGCAGAGCTTTCCAACCGCACCCGTCGATGCCAGGAATCAGCTCTCTGTTGTAGCGTGCTTCTTTACGTGCTACTTGGTCACTGAAGTTACTCTCGTCACCACAAGTCAGTTCAATCAGAACTACTTCTCTCAAACTATCCGACCATACTACAATGTCGGGTCTCTCCGCTGTGTTGTAGATGTGCTGTGGGAACTGGGCAGGTAGTGTATCCTCGTCCCATATCAGCTTCCAGTCTTTCGCTCTCTCAAAGGGCCTCTCCTTCCTCAGCTTTGGCTTTGGGTGTTCATACTTCCCATCCTTCGACTTGAACCGTATCCATTCTTTGTCGGAGGTCGTGGAACCTGAGGAATTGTACATCTTGAGTTGGTCAAGCAAGGCTCCGGCTATAACACGTAGGACGTTGTCATGTCTCCAGTTGTACCTTTTGGAGTTTCTTGCTATACTGCAGACGGCTAGGATGTGCTTGATGTTGCATGTCTTCCAACCACAAAGTGTACAATTTCCTGTACTCGAGTAGTTCCACAATTTCATGTTTGCAGGGGTATTAGCCACGTCGTGTGTCGAGTTTAGGTGGAATTTAAGGAGAGCCGGGCTCATCTTGTAGTTGTAGATAAGGCTGTTCCATCCTAAGTCTAACTGCATCGTGTTCTCCCATGTCAAGAACTTGCCCTGTACTCCCTTGTTTACCAGGGTGACTAGCATGTCGTTCTCTGACACCGATTCTACCAGTTGTCTTAGCTTCTGCCTCTCAGTCAACTTTGGTTTGCATCCGAGTCCTACTCGGTCTTTAGTCACTACTCCAACCAACTCCTGGAAGTAGAGATCTCGCTCTCTTGCCGTCAGCTCCGTTGTATAATACCATCTCGGGCTGTTCTCCTGTTTCTCTCTCTTGTTATTATAGGCTTCTACAACTTTGGTGTCATCACTGTTCTTCAGGGCGTGTCCCTTTGATACCTGAAGAGACTTGTATAAGTCATTTAGCTTCTTCAAGTTTAGCCCGAAGTAATCCTTGCTCCTGTACAGGACTGTCACAGTAATTGATCTAGTAACACCCAACCACTTCTTCAAGAATCTGGTGCAGATAGCATCCAGTTCGTACACAAAACTTACAGGAAGGTTGTAAATCATCAGATCCCAGGACATCTTGCTAGTCAGCATGTTATTGTAGATCCAACACTTCATGACACCGTTGAGACCACACTCATCCACTGTCTGAAACAGAGTCTTTAGTTTGTCTTCAATCCGTTGTTTAGTGTCATTTAACCCTAGATCGACATAGATCCAGTGGCCCAGGAACTTAATCGGGTTGTTTCCTACATAGCTGATTATCTGGCCGTCAATCAATATCTCTGGGTCATAAGCCTGGTACGTACCATCTATCACCTTCATTCCCAGGGAGACACACTTGCTAGGCTTGGCCTTCATTTTCCTACTCCAATCCAAAAACTGCTCCATCAACTCTATCTGCTTCTTTACCTTCTCTAGTCTGGAGGACATAAGTGTTAGGTCATCTGCAAAAGCCCGATTCGATGTAGGTTGCGAGCTAAAGGAGGGCTTATAACCCAGTTCTTTTTGATCTTGTAGAAGATCTAACAGTAGGTTGAATACAATTAGGAACAACAATACTGAAAGAGGGTCTCCTTGAAAGAGGCCTAACATGTAGTAGAACCAATTTGACTTCCAGTCTTTGGTTACCACCCTTACAATCAGTTCATCATAGTACTTAAACATGTAATCTATGAGCCATTCAGGGAATTTGTAATGCCGGAGGGCATAGAGGATCAAGTTGTGTGGGACTCTGCCATATGCATTCATTAAATCCACCCAGACAACGAATATCTGACGTCTAGTAGTTTTGGCGTCTTTTAGTTCTTCCATAAGCACTTGGGTGTGTTGAAGACAACCAGGAGTCTTCTTCAGAAAGCCCTTCTGAACTGACTTGTCTATGTACTTATTAGACACCATATAATCCAGCATCTTGTCTGCTAGAATTCCCATGTTCAACTTGCCGCTGGTGTTCGTCTTTGTAATATTCCTGAACTTGCTTGGGTCTGACAGATCCTCAGTCTTTGGGATAAGGACTGCTTCACCAAATCGCCATTGTAGTGGCACTATCTTCTTGTCCCACAGGGTAGACATCCTTCTAAAAGTACCATTAACTAGATTCACGTACATTTTAATCCGATTTCGTTACTGGCTGTACCATTATCAGACAGTTTATCAGCTGTTGTTCCGCCGTAACTCAGTGTGTACTGACGCACGCGAGTTAAAAGAGTGTCAGAAGTGTGTCAGAAATGTGCTGTTTGTGAGGTCGGGGGAAAACCTGACAGCCCTCTAACAGCCCTCTAGCAGTCCTCTAACAGCCCTCTAACAGCCCTCTAACAGCTCTCTAACAGTCCTCTAACAGCCCTCTAACAGTCCTCTAACAGCCCTCTAACAGCCCTCTAACAGTCCTCTAACAGCCCTCTAACAGCCCTCTAACAGTCCTCTAACAGTCCTCTAACAGCCCTCTAACAGCCCTCTAACAGT